AAGAACGAGAAGCACACCCCAACAACAACCACAATTGGACTTGGAAAGTGTAACCGGGTGCCCACACGTGGTTTTCGTTCCGGAATTCCCAAACCAAAAGCAGCGGTTCATCGAGCTCTCGCGCCGAAAGGTAATCCCTACCCGATTCTTTGACCGTTCATTGCTTTCTAAGCTAGGAATAGATTCGGAATGTAAGAATTTGTTTGCAAAATTAGGAATGTCTCAACTATTCAATATGAACTATAGAACTTATGAAGATTTAACTCTTGAATTTTTGAGCTCATTTGATATTGAAAAGGGTAGGAATGGTTTGGTGAAGTATGTTGTGTATAGGTTGCTGAATAGGTCTCATAGAATGTCCTTAGAAGGCTTTGCTAGGAAGTTTGGACTTCCTTGTACCGGCTTAACTGTGCAACCTAGTAGCTTCATTTCTGGGGAACTTTGGTTTGCTATGACTGGTGAAAACATTGAATCTTTCCAGCACGCCCTTTCACACAAAATCCACCAACCAGTCCTTAGGCTGTGGACTAGATTCACTGGGTGGACTATTTTTGGTAGAATCGAACCTAATAATGTTAGGTCGGACGAGATTTCGATCTTAGGTAGCTATTTAAGGCGTGGGGATGAGGATGGAGACTTTAAAATGAATATTGCACACTTGTTTGCCCTTCACCTTAAAAAGCAAGGCACCACTTATACGACAATTAAATCGAATGGTGAACGCTCTAACATTCCTATCGTCCTAGGAGGCCTTGTCACTCACCTAGCACTTCGGGAAGGCTTTGATGAAGCCAGCCGATGCCCAGTGCCTGGCCCCATTACCTTAGATCAGCATTATCTCACTACTGCGGGTTGGTTATCCATAGATTTTAATAGATTTAGTTGGATCATAGGGAGAACCAACAGGCTTTCTGTGCCTTTACCTTCCCCTGACCTAACTAAGATTATGCCTCACCAGCCCTCCTACCTTCTCCAGTTCCCTAGTGATTCGTCTACCCCTGTACCAGCTGCCCCCACTAGGACCTATTTTAGGAGAGAGTCTGCTGGACCCTCTACCTCCTCCCTTGCTCCGCCTCCTCCTAGCGATCACGAGGCCATTATGGCCGGTATTAGGGAGCTTAGGGTAGGTCAGCTGGACCTTTCTACCCGAGTCCAGACCATAGAGACTAACCTTCGGGAGCTTAACGCAGGCCAGCAGGATTTTCGCTTGTCTATGTATCCTGTTTATGACTACTTCTGCAGGCAAGGGTATATCCCGAGGGATGGTCCCCATCCTTCTTGGTATCACTTTCCCGGTGCGGGAGATATGGCAGGTGGCAGTGGCACAGCTGGTGTCGAGGATGATGGTGTTGATGATGATGATGTTGATGATGATGATGTTGATGATGATGATGTTGGTGGTGATGATGATGGCCCCTCCGCTTCCTTTTGAGGAGCCGTCGAGATTGCTATGCTCTCCTTAAGCTGCAATGAGGCCATTGCCGCGTTTAGCTTGGGGGAGTTACTTCGTACATGTTGGTATTCTCTCTCCTTATCTCTCTTATCTTTCTTGTTTTATTTTAGTGTAGTTATTTTAGTTGTTTTCTTCTTAAAAAAAAAAAAAAAAATACAAAAATACGATCCAATGAATAATAAATCATGCTTCCCTGTGCCCCATTCATGAAAATTGTTTTAATTCTTGGTATATGATGACGAGTATTGTGGATAGGTTAGCCATGATTTGATGTTTGATTGCTTGGATGTCTTACCATGAGTCAATTTTGCCCAACTACTTGTGAATATAGTGCTTGACTAGTTGATTTGGTTAGGAATGTGTGTTAGTTCCTGGTATGTCAATGAAGTTGAGTATTGGTTTATAACTTTGAGTAATGTTTGCATGACTCATTAATATGCACATTGAGGAGGACGAAGGCATTTGTTCCTCTAGGTGGCCTTCAGACGATATTAGATACATTTGTTCCCTTCTTGCTACCCATGTTGTTGCTTGTGCCCTTTTATTGTTTATTTTGCCACATTACAAGCCTATTTAAGCCCCATTGGTTACTAGTCCCAAGCTTAGCTTGGGGGAGCTAATAGTGAGTGAGGCGAGGGAGTTGTAGTGTGCATGTAATTTGCACAATTTTGGGTGGATTTGAGAAGTTTCTTATTTGTTCTTATTGTTGTGGATTGAAAAAAAGAAAAAAAATTGAAAATTTATTGTGCAAAGAAAAAAAAAAAAAAATTCCAATGTGAGAGAAAAGAAAAAGAAAGAGCAAAGGAAAAAAAAATTGTTTCAATGTTCAAGTGTTCTAATTGAAGGCTGCTCAAGAAAAAAAAAGAGAGTTCAAAGTTTGTTTGTTTACTCAAGTTCTATAATTTTATATTTTGTATATATGAGTGAAATTTTAAGTGTTGGAAATTTTTAATATAATTGGGATGTTTGGTGAATTTTTGGTAGAGCTGAGTTGTGTTGGAGATGATTTGGTCATTAATTTGTTTTGACCTTGGTTTTATTTATTAGGATTTTGGCTCCCTTAAGCATAGCTTTACTCTTACATTTTCCCAAATATTTCCCACCTTTTACCCTAGCCTTACATTACAAGCTTTGAAGACCTTCTGACCTTTGTGCATAGAGTTGTGTGAATGTGAAATTAGTTGTTTTCCAATGCAAAGAATGATTTGATATATTTCGAGTCGACTGCTAGGTTGAGTGCTTGTTTTCTTAAAACACACGAGTGCGTGAGCTTGGGAGGGCATTGTTCACATTTAAAGGAGTTGGATGGAGAGCGACCGAGTATATCTTTTACTCGCCACATAAATGAGAGTTGAGTGTGTGAACACTAGTCTTGAATTCTATATGCTCTTGTGGTTTGCTCTATTTGACCATTGTCAGACAGGATGAGTAGTTAGATGGATTTGATTGGTTGACTTTGATGCATAACTGTCGAGTTTACCTTTAATCGTATTTATTGATTTGAGTTACTTTTGGGGTGAAGTATTGATTTATTTATTCATTGCTTTGCTTAGGGACAAGCAAAGGTTTAGCTTGGGGGAATTTGATATACGTGTTTTATACAATGGTTTTCCCCGGTTTGATTGCATGATTTTACATGGTTTTGAGCTCTACGGAGCTATTTCTTGCTAACAATCTCTTCTTTAGTGTATTCGATTGTTTTAGTAAGCTTTTCAGGAATATGAAGCGTTTCTAGGCAATTGGACGTGTTTTTAGTAGATTCGGAAGAGTTGATAGCCAAGAACTGCAATTTATGTGGAATGCCCGACCGGGCATGGCTTGCCCGGGCAGACCGGGCAATGAGGAGTTCACAGGAAGAAGCCCAATTCTGAACGGTGCAACGCGCGCCCGATCGGGCAGGCTTCGCCCGGTCAGACCGGGCGATGAAGAAATCAAGTTATGAGATGCAATTTTGGAAACGTGTTACGCGCGCCCGACCGGGCGAGGTTCGCCCGGTCAGACCGGGCAAAGAAGGAAAACTGTCGTATTTTACGCAGCCTTCCTCCGCCCGATCGGGCGAGGTCCGCCCGGTCAGACCGGGCAAAGCTCAAGAACGCGTATTTTCTTATTTTTCCGAAATATTATCTTTTGGGGGTATAAATACCCTTTTGTAATTAACTTTTAGACAGTTAGTTTTTCATTAGTTTTCTCCTTAAGCCCTAGAAAACTCTCAAGAACCCTAGTTTTATTTTCTTAAGCAATTTCAATCTTTAATCCTAGTTTTATTAATTGTTCCTCAAGAATTCAAGATCATCAATTGAAGTATTTGGTATTTCTTACTTTCCATCTCTTTTATTTATTTTATAGTTCTTTAATTATGTGTTCTCTATTAGATCTTGTTTTTGATTTAATTATGATTTGTGAGTAGTTTCCTTAATCCGGGATCTTGCTAAGCCCGATTATGATTGATGTATAAAGTAGATCTTTAAATTCCCCAATAATAATCCCAATTGACATGCTTAATTGATTGTGTTTATGCCAATACTAGATTAGGGATAATTAGTATTGTTATCATCCCTTTGTTCTTATTGCAACGGAAGTTGGGTATTAACGGGATTAGGTTATTTCAATTAAGGGTTTGAAGATCATCACGGAAGTAGATGATTGAATAATTAGGAATCTAGGCATGGTGTTTAATGTCCCTTATTCGCTTGATTCCACGGAAGTAGGCTTGATAGTTAATTTGGGAAGCCATTGATAACTCGGAAGAGACCTTTGGTATTATTATTAGGGATTGCTTTTCTTCTTGTCAATTGATTTATATATTGGGGGTAGATTTATTAGTTTATCAATCATAATCGTGGTGATGCTTGATCTTGGATGCTTTAGTTTATTGATTAATATTTCCTCTAGTTAATTGTGTTATTTAATAAATTAGTTGATTATTATCATCCATTATTGATTGGTCACGTGCTTAGTGATTAATTGAGTCTGATTAATTGAATGAACCATAGTCTCTTGGGATTCGATCCTTACTTGCCCTACTACACAGTTAGAAGGAATAGTTAGGTTATTTTTGTTAGGTACGCGATAAGCCTATCACAGGTCAACTAACCAACCATGATTGTAGAGCTCAATTCTCAATTGGCAACTAAAATAATGGGAAGCAGGATAGGATATTGGTAATCCAAGCTCCTCTTCAACGCAAACAATAATTTTACACTCCTTCATAGGATCAATCTGATGTAAATCAACAAGCAGACTATGTCGGAGCATTTTGTTGAACAATTGTTGGGCATCAAAATATCTATTACGCTACTTTTAGAGAAAACCAGTTTACTTTTGAACAATTTTTGTTTACATAAACCCATTTTGATCTAACTGATTTTCTATTCATGAATTTTGGCTTACTTTAACGAGCTGGATTTATAAACCTAGATTGTTAAAGTAAAATCTGCATTAAAATAACTTAAATCTAGTTGATAACAAGCTAGATGAAAAAGTTTAGAAATCTAATTCAACTAAAATCGCAAAATTAAACCTTCTAGATCTGTATATATATTTTTTGAGGAAATCAACATGACTATACTTTCAAAATTCTAACTCCAGCATCATAAAAGTTTTAATTGAATAATTCAAAAACAAATCTATAATCTGATTTCGACTGAATTTGCAACCGTTGAATTGAGATTTCGCAATAAATTATTTACGAACTTGCAAATTGCTACAAATTGATAGGAAATTATCCGATGTATGATGTATCACTGCAGAAGAACACATTATTGAACTCAAAAGCAAATTCCTCAGACAAACACCAAAACACACGAAATTATTTAAACAAACCACTGAAATTTTCAAAAGATTCTAGCATCAAAATTCAAAAAAAAAGCACAGACCAAAAAAAAAATATATGAAGAAATACAATTTGAGTCTTAATTAACAAAAAATTGCAGACCAAAATTATGCATCACAAAAATTATAAACAAAAAATCTCTCAAATTTGAGCCTTAATTAACAAAAAAAAAATACGATGTGAAAACAATCAAAGATTCAGAATTAATCGAAAAACTATCAAAGTTATCAAGGAAATTAAATCTATCACATACCTGAATCTGTTGGAAGAATTAAATTCTTCAAAATTGGTGTGAAACGAAGAGAGAGAAAGGTAGTCTGAAGAGAGAGAGAGTGAGTAGTGTTATGTCTTACGAGCAGGTGAGCGAATGAGCCATATGAAGAAGTTTTAATCCTAACCATGATCTTGTTTTAATCTAACGGCTCTTATATATATATTTATATATATATATGAATTTGCTAGAATGAGAAACCCAGTTAAAAACTGTCACGTGTCTCATATAAAGTACAAAGTATATAAGAAAGGAATATTTGTTTTTTTTTAAAATTAGGAAGTAAGACTTGTGTCAACTTTTAAGTGTTTTTCTCATTTTCTCATTCTCATTATATATATATATGGGGAGGTTCCGCTAAAAATAGAGCTTATGGTGAAAACTAAAAACAAGCAATCTTAGCCATTCATTACTAGCACAAAAAATCAGACGGTTCTAAAGTCCTAAGATCATTCCAACCTTACATATAATCAATTCAACCGTTTTAAAGGTTTTTTTTTTTTTACAAACGCAACGTTTTAAAAGTCACTACATGCTAAAATAAGGTAACTTTATCTAAATTGACGATATTTACATAGAGTCACTAAATAACGTAACTATATACAAAAATAGGGTAGCTATATCAATTTTTACAATATTTACATTAAGGTCACTATATACAAAAATAGGGTAACTATTTCAACTTTGACCATATTTACATAGAGGTCACTATATACAAAAATAGGGTAACTATAACAATTTTTACAACATTTACATTAAGGTCACTATATACAAAACTAAAGTAACTATATCGACTGAGTTTTTGACACCATTTACATAAAGGTCACTATATATAAAAATAAGGTGACTGAAACAAAATTTACAACATTTCCATAATTCTAAGGTCATTATATCGAAAATAAGGTAACTATATATTAACTTCGGGTAATTATATCAATTTGACACCATTTACCCAGAGGTCAATAAATATAAAAATAAGTATTAAAAAAGTCTATGTAGGATTCGAACCTACATCCCGTGATTACACGATGCTCGACCAATTGAGCTAATAGGCTTTCAACATGCCAAAACAGCCAATAAAAGCATACCAACATCACAGACCAACATCATACAGACTGAAGCAAAACAAGCTTGACAAGACCAACGTTTCAAGAACAGAAGCAGAGGCAAATAAAAGCATACCAGGATATCATGATACGAGCAAGCCACCTGTATATGAGGAATCCCAACTAAATGTAGATATTGAACAGGCAGGCACCAAAAATCATACAATCAGAGATAAATCTTCACAAAGGCTCAAGAAGGTTACTACACTAACTAAGATCAGGCATGATAGAGCTCGCAATAACGCAAACTAGTATACTCGAATTCTAGAATATACTCGAATTCTAGAAATAAATTTCTAAAGACACGCTTCTACCATTTAATAGATATAAGCCTATGAGGCTATGATTCACAAAACAATACATGTCTAGCTCCATGTCAGAGTGCACTTAGATTCTGGTACCATTACTTCAAAAGAAAGTCTATAGTAGGATAACAATACAATTGACCACTTGGTAGTTGGTACTAACATTTAACTCTCTGACTCTTTGAGTGGAATAATAACAATAACTCAAATGTCTAGACTGTCATGGATGATCTGCACTACTGTTCGAATAAAATGTTAAATGAAAATGTACAAATCTACTGCAGAATTAAACAAAATATCGTTCACAATCACAAGCAGAACTTAACCCATCACATTCTTTCTTATACACAACATATAACAACCCATTAATAGGCAAAATCACATATCTACACATCACAGCACACAGGAGTGAAATCAACACGCTCACAATCACAAGCAGAACTTTCACCCAATCACACACCTATACACAAACGAGCAGCTTATCACAAACGAGCAGCTTACTGTCCGATTATAGGTTGTATATATAAACAATTTCTACGGCAATACAAAAGCAAGGAAATCACATTTTTGACAATCAGACTAAATACATCAATAAAATGCAGCAACATTAGAAAAATATCATCAAAATAATCAAATAAAACACAAAGTTCAGAAAATTTGATGATGAAACTGAAAATCGAACACAAAGTGATAAACTAAGTCGAAAAAATCGAGCACAAACTGATAAACTTAAAATGAAAAAATCGAACACAATTGAGAAAAAATAAAACCGAAAAAAATCGAAATCAAATTCAAAAAATTAAGCCGAAAAATCAAACACAAATTGAAAATAAAAAATTCAGCGGTAAAAAGTTTAAGAAATTGATCAATATACAATGAAATGATCGATTAACGTAGAAAAATTTGATGATGAAATTGATGAGCTCAGAATGCCAAACGAAGAAATTAAGCTAAATTATAACATAATTAAACTCATATGAAACTCGATTAAGAATGAACTACCTCAAATGAAGTTAAATTACTCCTACAAAACTTACAAAATTTGCCAAAAATTACAAAATTTATATAAAAAAAAAAAAAAAAACAGAAGCAAAGTACTCAAAAAATTACACAAATCGGAAACGAAAAACTCAAGAAATTACTTTAAAAAACAACAATATGAAGAAATTATGAAAAACGCAAAATAATAACTCAAAAAACAAGTGAAAAATCAGAAAATAACAAAAATCAGGAACGAAAAACTCAAAAATTACACAAATAAGAAACGAAAAACTCAAAAAACATTGATTAAAAGCTAAAATAAAGCAAAATTATAAACGATTTCCTTACTTGATAGATGGTAGAGAATAATAGGAATCAATTTGATGAAGAATCGAATCAATTACAACTATGCTTTGGAGAAGTAGTATGAAGTTTGAGGAAGAATGTAGAAATCAGGAGAGAGAAAAGAGAGGAGAGAGAATGTTATGCATGAAAATGCAGGAGAGAGAAAACAAAAGGCTGGAAAAAACCCCTACCGTAGGATAAGATGACTTTGAATTTACGGTTAAGATTTTGTGTTTTCAATTTTTAACTTAAGGTTGGTTTTCACATGATCCAACTCCTATATATATATATAGGGATCCAGTGAGAAGTTTTTTTAATTGAGAAGAATGAGAAGGGTTAAATGTGCATATATTTTGAGCTAAATATGCATAAATTTTATACTAAATGTGCATAATTTATTTTTTGACCAGCTACATTTTTTCAAGTTTATGGGAAAACTAAAATTTATGCACACAAAATATGCATATTGAATTTCGGTCAAAATTATTTTGCACATTTTATTCAAAAAATATGCACATTAAATCATTCTCATCCTTCTCATTTTAAGAAACTTCTCATTTGACCCTATATATATATACTAGTATGTGCCCCGGACATTGTCCCAAATACCCATTTTAGTGGGTGTACTTATTTGTGGGGATGTTTTGTATTATTATTATAATTAAAATATTAACAATAATAATAATTATTATTATTAGTATTTATATTTTTTTAAAATTTTAGATATAAAAAATTAATGATACATAGCCATATTTATAATTATAATTACGTGGCTATTCGTATAGGAGTAAAATTTTATTGTTAATTGGATATTCATATTAATTATAATATGTGGTGTGTTGCTATAAGTAAAATTCTATTGTCAATAAAAAAAAGATAAATTTTTTTCAAAATAATTATAAATTATTTTATTTATAATTTTATATCCTAAACAAATCTATCCAATTTAATCTAACGTGGCATCTAATCATAATAACATCTATTTTTCGCCTACGTGGCTCGACACTTGGCGAAAAACTGGAATGTCAAGTGTCGCTGTTTCGTGGTCTGGCCGGGAGACCGGCTTTATTATATATTTATATATATATATATATATATATATATATTACTAGAATGAAAATGTTCATCAACAAGAAGTCATATGTTCATTACCAGAATAAAATATGTTCATTTACATAACAGCTATAACAAAATGCAATAAAATGTTCATTTTCAAAACAAAATATGTTCAGTTACATATCACTTATTAGAGAAAGATTAAGCTCTAACAAATATATATTGTTTCTATCCAAATCCTTACTTATTATTTGTTTGCTAACCTCTTTGCTACATTAGTACAGTGTCAAAAAAAGCTAACAACCTATCATACTTAGAAGAAATATGTTGACTACCACGTTGAACATCTCTTGGAACACTTGCAAGAACTTGAAAATTTCTTGAAATACTTGGAGGAAATTGAAAATTTCTTGGCACACTTAAAGGAACTTGATCATTTCTTGGAGCACTTGAAGGAACTTGGCCTTTTCCTGGAGCAGTTGGAGGATGTTGATTAATATAATTAAAAATGAACAAATATAAAAACAATATATAATCAATTCACTAGGATCAGTTGATGGCTATATCTACATTCAATTTTAGTTGTCGTTACAACAGATAAAGAATTATAGGCATCCGGTGCAATAAATCCTAGATTAGGAGACCCACTAACCTCCTTCCTCAATGCTCTCAAAGTATCTAAAACTTAAACTCCACCACACCTTAACGTAGATATAAACTGTAATTGTTCTTTATTAACACTCCTTTGATGCCTTAACAAATGTCTCTTTTTCACAAGAATCATTTGATAATTATGTTTCATATCATGTATGGTACAAGTCCATACACCTAAATGATCAATTTTAAACTCAACAAAAGCTAAACAACCAGTTCTGGTTTCAAGTCTATCATAAGACCAAACAAATTAAATACTCCTGCACTTCTTCCTTATAACCTTCATTAGAACAAACAAATAGTTTCATCATTACTGACTCATCTTTTCTAGTCTTACTCTTCCCAACAATTCTAATACTAAATCACCCTTTCTTAAATTAAAAGCATATTCATTATACCTTTCATAAGCTTTTGCTTTACCAAGTAAATTTACTTGCTTCTTGAACAATAATTTCATCCTTCTTTCCAACTGCATTTTAAAAAACAAATGAACACAAACATTGACATACATGTTCAATAACTAAACATAATCATTATAAATGATCATTTATCATTACCTATCTGATCATAATTATTAAAATTAATTTGCTGACATTATGAATGAACATTTAGCATTATTAAAGTGTTCATTTATCCTTATCATTTTGCATTATGAATATTCATTTAGCATTAGTAAAGTTAAACACCTATCGACTATGAATTTTCATTTAGCAGTAACAAAATTGATATAAGCATTATAAATGATCATTTGGCATTATAAAATTGATCACAACACAACTATAAAAATAGATGATTATTTAGCATTATAAAATTAAAAAAATGTCATAAATTAAATAAAACAACAAACAAATTGCAATTAAGAAATCAAAACTATTGCAAAACAATGAAATACAATAGTTACGTATTATCACTCAAATTGATCAACAAATTGAACTAAAACTATAATTATAAAAATCAGAGTATTAAAATTGAAATTAAAATCGACAACAACGACATTGATGAATTAAATTATCATTATTTATGAATTGAAACTCAAATTGATCAAAATAAAATACAGAGTATTACGAATTGAATTAAAACAACGAGAAATATAACGACAACAAAATTAATAAAAATCAACAAATAATACTCACATCGATAAACAAAAGCAATATTAATTAAAAACAAAGTATTACAAATTGAGGTAAAAGAACGAGCAAAATAAAACAACAAAATTAATGAAAAATTGAATTAAAATTCACATTGATCAACAAACGAATCAAGCAATCCAACACTAGATGGAAACACAATATCAAAATCACGATCAAATCTGAAATCGAAGAATACACAACTGCACACTCAGTAGTAAAACCTCTGATCGAAAGAAAACTCCATGAAATCAACGAAGAGTAAGGTTTTTCGATCGAGCGAAGATATTAGATCGAATAAAATTATGATGAGAGAGAAAACGCTCACAAACAACTGAAAAGAGAGTGAAAATTAAGGTTTATATATATATATATGGCCGTCTAAGAGGCCGTGCAAAGAGACCCTGTACACAGAGCCTCATTGTGTGGAGGGGCCCCAAACCACTTTTTTTTTTTTTTTTCTCTTCTCCAAGCACTAGATCATCTCTCTCGTTCATGAACTACGGAGTATAATACTCATTGCAAATTTATAGATTTTCATCTTGCAATCTCTCCTTAACCTTGTATCAACCTTTTTAACAGCTAGAATTTTCGTTAATTAAATTTAGTAGTTATACATTTTTAATAAGAAAGTACTTCGTATAGTTTAGTTGGTTTTTACGATGTCCTAACTTCCTAAGTTAGATTAAGCACATGTATTATATATTTTGTTAATAAGATTGAATCATCAATAAAAATTCATACGATGTATAAGTATACAATTAAGTTAGAGAGAATAAACATAATACTGAAAGTCTAAACATTGTAATTGACAAGAAATATATTGTTTGAAGGTTGCAATTGTCTTCTTATAAAACATAGTACAAAATATTATTTAATTGAAATTTGCTTCTTCTTCCCATTTTTTTTTTGTCTCCCTGAGTCAAGACGCGCTTAATTAAAAATTTATTATTAGTGTTAAGAAAATTAAGACATCATAGAGGCGTTCGTCGTCGGTAACTTTGAGCTTCATTTTGCTATAAAAATCATCGTAATGATAAAATTTTACCGCATAATACAACTACATATACATATTTGATAGGGCCAACCATTAATGGTAGCACAAGGCCTCTAGAAAATTTAAAATGGCCTCGGATTCGGTGAGAATAAGTCTTTATGTGAGAACACTATTATATATGAGAACTAATCACAACCATAAGATTGTACAAGATCCAACTACTGAGATTGTTCACATAATAATGGCAAAAATGTAATTTACAACCTAACAAACCTTCCTCCAAAAAAAAAACAACATTACACATTAGTTCTTTCTCTCTCCAAAAAAAAATTACCCACCTTCTTTCTCTCACCAAAGCTTGAAGGTGGACATCAATGGCTTGAAGCTTGAAGGATCGCTACTTTCTCCCTCCTCTTGTTCACTTATACATAATTTTGGTGAGTAAATTTCGAATTTCATGCTCTTAATTTTGATTTTTCGTCATAATTTTCGAATTGAGTGATCTCAATTAAGTATATTCGTCAAAAATTTCAAATTTATAGTAATTATCAAATTTTAGTGTTCTAAATAATTTAATTTCGAATTGAAGTGCTCTTAATTTTTGGTTATTCGGGTTTGATATTCTAATTTTCGCTAGATTTGTTGAATATGCAAAGTAATATAGTAAAAAAAAAAAAATAAGCAAAAAAAAAATTAAAATGAGCAAATAGAATTAAATGAGCAAAACATAAATAAGTATAATAAAATTTCCTATTGAATGTTCTTATTTTGTATTTTTTGTCAAATCATTCAAACTTAATGTTATAAATTTAATAATTTCAGCCGAAGATATGTAAAATAATGAGCAAACTGAATTAAAAAGAACAAAACCTAAATATACAAAGTAATATAGTAAAAATAAAATGAGCCGGAAAAAAAAACCAAAAAAATGGAAAAAATAAAATTGAACATCATATTGTATAAAATGAAAAAAAATCGAATAACACCAAAGAATTTGATGATGAAATTGATAAACTTACAACAATTTGTTAATGAATTTTGCCGATTTGATAAAAAAAGAAATTGGTGTTTTAGCTGCTCATATTAAAATGGGAGAGAGAGAGAGAGATCTAAGAAAATCTTAGAGAGAGGAAGTAATTAGTGCTACGGGAAGAAGAAAAATTAGCAACAATTTTTTGCTCATTTATCTAATGAGCAAACAATTCTTTACTCATTTGTCAAATGAGCAAACAATTCTTTGTTCATTTATCAAATGAGCAAACAATTCTTTACTCATTTGTCAAATGAGCAAACAATTCTTTACTTATTTGTCAAATGAGCAAACAATTCTTTACTTATTTGTCAAATGAGCAAACATTTCATTGTCCATTTATCAAATGAACAAACAATTATTTGCTCATGTATCAAATGAGCAACAATTCTTTGCTCATTTATCAAATGAGCAAACAATTATTTGCTCATTTATCAAATAAGCAACAATTATTTGCTCATTTATCAAATTAAATGAGCAAATAATTCTTTGCTCATTTATCAAATGAGTAAATAATTCTTAGCTAGTACAAAGTTCATTGCCTTAATGGGGGCTTCCTCAATCCACACATGGAGGTTGTCATAGTTTTTACTGAGGTTGGCAAGACAAATTAGAAACTAACATCATTTTTCTTCAAACTTGCATCTCACTTTTTCAAACCCATATAAGTGTACATATGCCTAATCAATGCAACTCCACAATTCAAATGATTATCATCTGAAGACTTCCAAGGAAAATCAATTGTAGCAGAGGTAACCATATATTAAATGAGCAAAGAAAACGTAACCATACTTTAAATGAACAAACTACTCCCTCACCCTAATACTACATATCTAATCTTGCTCATCAATAGTACGTGTTTCTTGTTTTTTCCTTAATTACACCAAGTCAAGACACACCAAACATCTCAATCTTCATCACAGGCCATTCATGTGTAGTAGTTGTAGAATATAAACAAGAAATGTAAAGTTACTATTTCTACTGCATTCAAACAATCTAAAACTCTTAAGATTATTAAAAAATACTAGTATAAAGTTCTAAGTCATACCTGTTTTTTATGAAACTTGTTGTATTTTCCACATCCTTCACCACAGTGGCGGAGCCAGGATTTATAATTCGGGGGGACAAATTTTGGAGGTTAAAGTTTCGGCAAAAATCTCAAGAAAAAAATTGATAACCTAAATTGTTTAATATTTATTTGAAATCACATGCCAATTATTTCTATATGGAAAAAGAGGGGTAAAAAAGTTTTATTGTATATTAAGAAAATTATCCAACAAAAATGAATAAATTTATATTTGTAAATCCTGTTATGTAATCACATAATTGATAAATACGAATTAATTACCTTATCATAAAGTCAAATAATTATCGTTAAAACAAATTGATGGTAGATATGAAGGGCCAGGGTTTGAGTTACATTCGAAAAAATAAACTCAACTTTTTCAAATCAATCATATTATTAATATGTATTTCGTTAAAACACAGTTACAAACAATTAATTAATAGTAATCTATTTATTAGAAATGTAAAAAAAAATTGAGTTTAAGCACACTTAGTTAAGCGATAATTAAAAACAAGAAGTAGGAAATAAGAAATAACATTAAAAATCCTAAAACAAGAAATAGGAAATAAAAAATCAAATTAAAAAGGTTGTTGAAAATTAGAGTATGTAATAAAAAAAAACAAGAAGTAGGGGAAAAAAAAAACAAAAAAGCTGAAAAACAGTAGAGTAGGGAATCGAACCTAGGACCAAAACACAGCCTTACTAAGGACTCAACCACCAAACCATATTCAATATTGTGATATCTACTGTAAGTATATGTTATTTATAGCCTTTTACTGTATTTTCTTGATTTTTTTTTTTTAAAAAAAAACTTTTTTTCCGAAAATGGGGGGACAACTGTCCCCCCTTGTTCTAATGTGGCTCCGCCACTGCTTCACCACTTAATAACCTCTATTATACCATGGAGTGTGGTGGTGTTAAAACACACCAAATAATAGTGCTAATCTTGATACACTTAGCTAGGAAAAAAAATGAAAAAAAAGAGCTCAATTTAGGAAGGAGGTTCTGCTCAATTGCTTTTCAACTATTGTACAAAACATGTCGTTCCTTTGTTTAACAGGTTCACTATCAGAGACAAATAATCAAACATACAAAGTCAGAAAAACTGATTAATCAGTTTACCTATATGTTATGTACTTATATAGCCACTTGCAAATGAGCAAACTGGCATAAAATGAGCAAAGTAAATTCAAATGAGCAAAATGAAATTAAAATGAGCAAACTAAATTGAAATTAAAATAATAAGCATAATGGCAAGCCTAAATATGCAAAGTAATACAGCAAAAAAAAAAATGAGCACACAAAAGTTTGAGCAAATAGAAATGAAATGAGCAAAACTTAAATAAGCATAAAGAATAAACAAAACAAAAATAATAATATAACCATTAATTCAAACAAAGCAAAGATAAAAAAACAAAGATAATATAGGCAGAAATAAAATGAGCATAATGAATTTGCTCGTTTAGTTTCTATTTGCTCATTATATAATCAATTTTTGAATGAGTAGCCACAACTTTAATTTATGAATGGGACCATACCATA